AAGTGGAAATAAGACCTTGCTTATGAAAATAATGGAAATTAATAAAATTCACCCTTAATAAACAGGAATGTAGATTGTTACGAACAGCCAAAATACAGTAAAACACATAAAACACATGAAACATACATATACATGTTATTCTTCTACTATAACCCTTAATTAAGGTTATTGGAATCTGTGTATTCTATATGTATATGTATATGTATATGTGTATGTATATACATATATAGACTATGTTTTTACGTATATGTATATAGATATAGATAAGATCTATCTATCTATCTACCATCATCTATCTATCTCTATGATGTATCTATCTCTATAAATCCATAATAGCAGAGAGTAGAGCAGTGGTTACCAGGGGTGGGGAGGTGGGGGGAGGGGAGATGTTGGTCAAAGGGTGCTAAGGTGCAGTTATATAGGATTAATAGGTTCTAGAGATCTAGTGTATGGAATGATGACTATAGTTAATAATATCGTATTGTATACTGGAAATTTGCTATGAGAGCAGATCTCGGGTGCTCTCACTATTCATGTGCACGCATGTGCACACACACACACACACGCACACTCTAAAGGTAACTATGTGATGGGTGGATATATTAATAGATGGATTACACAGATGGATATCATCATTAGCTTGAACACAGTTCATTTCAAGATGTGTGTCAAACATCATGTTGTATACCTTAAATATAAACAATTTTTATTTAAAAAATAAAAATGAAAAATAAAAAATGGTTGCTGGATTTCTTCAGTTCCAAATATACTAGTTTATCCCATTTCCTAACTTTTAAAAGTGAGAGGCATGCCAGTTATTTTACCCACTTACTAGATTGAAAATTCCTAGTAGTTACAGATTATAAACCCTTGAAGACTGAAATTATATATTTTATAGAGCTTAGCAAAGAGTTCTCTGTATATAGTGAAAAAAAGAAAAAAACTTGCTGGTTAAGTCAACAGAAGGTCCAGGAACTAGTCAAGACCTTCCCCTAATTAATGTGTGATCTTGGGCAATTCACTTAACTTTTGTGCCTCAGTTTCCTCATGGATGAATTTTAGGTAGTTTCACTGGATTGTAGTATGAATCATCCTATGTTATTAGATGTCTTATGCACAAAGGCAGTTAAGGAAAAAAAAGTTGTCCGCTAATCATACATCATAAAATTTTGTTACATAATAGCAATATTAGGTTCAACAATAGTTTCGTTGGACAATAGAGATTCCTGCATTTGAAACTGCTAACAAACTGGGGAGACCCAATATATACGCATATATCCAGGAGAACTTTGACATAAGGATTCATGTTTGCTGCAAATACCATATATCCTTAGAATCTCTGCTGGAAATCTGGCCAGAAATTGAGAATGACTAAAGCACTTGTTCTCAAAATGAGGCCACATGTGTCTGACATGGAGCCATCCTGGAGTTTAGGAAAAGTCACTGACACTCACATGAACTGCTGCATTTTTTTTTCTCGTTCTGCTAAGATTTCTGAGGGACTGAAAATGTATGTCTCTTCCCAGATGGGTTGTTTGGTACTTTCCCTGAAGATGAGTACCCACCCAGGGCAGTGAGGACACTGGCTGTCACTGTTAATAGTGGTTTTCTGGCCTCCATCCTGGGATCATGTATAATCCCAGAAACACAAGAGGTTATGTTTTTCCTATTTCTGTCTATTAGAAAGTCAACAATATCAAGTGATTGTTCTAGAAACACAGGTGCTACAAAGACGATGGCAAATTATATCTTCATTACCGTAATCTCAGTCTTCACATGAGTTGTCTATCTTTATTCGGGATAAAAGGTTCTCAGTGGCTTCCTAGCACACTCCTTTTTAATAGGACTCTGAATTTATGGAGCGTCTAAGTAATTAAAAACAGCAAATTATATGCAGACTGAGAATCTGTGGGCACTTTATTTTTAAAAATAGAAATAGTAAGATAATGAATGTATTTTTCAATGCAGTCTAAAGAACTCAGAATATACGGCCTAATAAAAAAAGAAATAATGTGCATAGCAACTTTTAAGAACATAAAAAAAAAAAGACCAAATTATCACTGGAAAATTCCTGTGTTTGTTACTACCATGTTGTTTTGATCGGCAGGAAACCAATGAGGTTCTTTTCGCACAAGTTTTTTTTTTGTTTTCTTAACATGGCAAAAAAAAAATGTACTATAAACATTGTCACAAAACTTTGCTATAGCCTAGAATGCATGTGTTTTCAGGCAGGAGACAGTGCCCTGTAGGGCATATTGTGAAACTGGGGGAAAGCTGAAAGGATTCAAAACTGAGTGAACCATGCAAGGGAACATACTGAGTTAATCTGTGTCCTAAGAAAATGTTCTGTGGCTTCCAGGGACAAGCCCTTGTCCTTGATGTGTCACCATCTGTTGAGAGAGATGTGTCTATGCATATCCCAAAGGCTACAGTGTGACTTTTTGTTTTCCCTAAAGAATGGGCTTTCTAAAATCTGGACAACATGCCAAGTTTAGGACTCAAGTTCTTCTTGAGCAATCTCCTTCCTCAATTACTAAAAGGCTCTGATGACAAATACAGTTCATCCAGGTTGGAAATTGTGAATGGTGAATTGTTACTTTCTTTTCACAACTTAGGCAGCTGAAGATTAAAGCAATTTGATTTTGAATCATCTGCTTCTAGGATAAGATTGGCATTCAAATATACCTTTAAAATGTCTCCAGTGTGGCCATTTTTACTTCCTGTCACTGCTTTTCCTGTGGTCCCAGCTCTGTCCTGTCTCACCTGGCTTGTGGCAATGGGCTCCCGGAAGGCCTCCAGCCGTCAAGACCCTGCACACAGAGCATATCTGCTAAAACCAAAGGTGGAGCAAGCCACCGCCTCACTTGGTATTGTCCAGTGGCTCATGAGAAGAGGTGTCCTTGGAAACAGACTCATCTACCTAGGGCGGAGTCTGGGTGGCACTGTATAAAGCAATTTAGAGGACATGCAGTGCTCACAAACCGTCATGACCTCATTGCTGCCTCTCCCTATGCCTCTCCCTATGTCTTTGATGGTCCTGGAACATGCTAGAAGCTTCTGCCTCAAGGAATTTGAACACACTTCCGGATATATATCATCATGGCTTGCCTCCTCACCTTTTTCAGGTCTTTCCTCAGTTGTAATCTTAGCATCCAGGTCTTCTCTACCTACCTGATTTAAAATCGCATCCCTCCCCATACTCCCTATGCCCCTTCTATTTTTGTTTTTGCAAGTTAAATGAATAGACTTTATTTTTTTAGAGCAATTTTAGGTTCAAAGCAAAATTGAGCAGAAAGTACAGAGAGTTCCCAGGTACCTCTCCAGCCCCCCATACACGACCTTCTCCGTTATCAACATCCCCACCTGAGTGGTTCATTTGGTACAACCGATGAACCTACATTTACACATCAAATCACCCAAGTCCATAGGTTACATTAGGGTTCACTCTTGGTGTTGTACGTTCTATGGGTCTTGACAAATGTATGACATGTACCCACCATTATAGTGTCACGCAGCATAGTTTCACTGCCCTAAAAGCCCTCTGTGCTCCAGCTATTCATCCCTCTCTCCCCCAATCTCTGGCAACCACCGATCTTTTTACTGTCTCCACAGTTTTGCCTTTTCCAGAATGTCACACAGTTGAAATTATGCAGTATATAAACTTTTCAGTTGGTTTCTTTTACTTAGTAATATGCATTTAAGTTTTCCTCCATAGCTTTTCATGGTCTGAAAAATCATTTCTTTTTAGCACTGAATAATATTACATTGTCAGCATGTACCACAGTTCTATTCACCTACTGAAGGACATTTTGGTTGCTTTCAGCCCATCTATTTTTTTTCCTACATAGTGCTCATCACCATCTAACACACTTCTGGCTTGACTTGTTCACTTTTTGCCTGTAGCTTCTAAACCTCCCCAACTTTAGTATATATAGCCTTTATGAGGGTTATATTTGTATTTTGTTCTCTGCTATATATCCCAGCACATAGAACAGTACTAGTGTATAGTCGATACTCAGGAAATATACATTCAATGAAAGAATATTAAAAAGGTATTTTCGAAAAGGTACAAAAGTTACTAAATGTATCTCTAATCATATGCCAGCACATAATGTATAAAGTGCATTTCTAGCTTTACGCAGGTCACAGCTAATGTCTGTCAATGATGAATGTCAAGTACTTAGCCTGGATCCTAGAACACAGTCAGGATTCTTCAGATATTTGCTTTCTATAAAAATGTGAGCTCTGTGAGAGGAGAAACCTATTCTGCCTTACTCACCACTATATTCTGGCCACCAAGAACAATGCCTGGCATATAGTAAGTGCTCCAACAAAATTAATTTGATGGATAATCAGTTCATCTCAATTTATTAATTTTCTTATTTGGTTATTTGTTTATCTGTCAGTTAGGTGCTTTTAGTGAATCAAAGAGATGTGTAATAATAATTTATTTTTGAAGTAATGACTTAAGCTCAACCATAATTTATCATGCTGTTTGGTCCACGTTCAATTGTACTTTACTGCTATAATCTTAAAAACAAATAACATTATTATTTCATCTCCTCTATCGATGTTTACTAGTATGTTGGTTAAAGCAATGTCAGGAGGAAAAAAATACTTATTTATGTGCAAATGTTTTATGAATGTATCATGTGCTAAGGGGAGAAGAGAGAGACAGATGATCAAATTGTTCAATAGCTATGGATTTTGAATGGTCAAGGACTATTCAATTCATAAAACTGAAGACAAAATGAAGTAGAATAGTACTTTTCTAGAAGTAGAAAATTGCCGGGAAATCTCAGTAAAGGCATAAACTAGGATGACAGAGGATCCTTTAGTAGATGTATCCTCTTGCCCTGAATGAAAAAAAAAAAGTTAAAACAAGAGAGCCTCTATCTTGTCGAGGAAGTATAGAAGGATGTATGTCATCAAGGAAGAAATATAACATTTTTATAAATGAATATAATACATGGTGACTGAGGAAGTTCTTATTCACTTACCCATCGTTGTTAACATCAGATACTGCAACCGTATATCCAAAATAAGATGCCATCTGCAAAGGAAAACCATAAGATGACATATTTTGTGTTAAAAAAACCCTCATTTTTATAGTCATGTCTAAATTTTTCCTGAAAGATTAATCTCATTGCAGCACATTTGTGCATTTAAATTCACAGACTGTTGGACGTGGACAGTCTTGCAGTCATTTAGTCTAACCCCTGACCCAGTGCATAATTTTCCCCTCAATACCCCTGACGTCTGCGTGGCCATCCTCTGGCGATGTTCAACAATCAGCCCATTCAATCTGTGCTCTCAGTTATTAGAACGTTCTTTGCTAAACACTGGCCCATCTATAACTACGAATCCTTAATCCTACCTACTTCTGCAGTCTTGAACCTCACAGAGAAAATCTAATTCCACTGCCATACAAAATCCCATATGGAAATATTTTCAGCTGGTTCACCATCCTGGCCCCTCTTTACTAGAGATACCAAGTGTGATACCAAAAAAAAGATCAAACACTGACAGGAGGAGAATTCAGTAGGAGGTACACGCTGTGCTTTGGGCTCCTTATATCAATGAAGTGTAAAAAGCGTTTAAATTCGGGGCAATACCACATTTCAGTATTGTTTCATAATGAGTTTATCATCAACTGAGGCTCTTAAGCCTTTCTGAGTATAACTAATCAGGGTGCCATAATCTTCTGCATATTCGAGCTCTTAAACTTTTGTTTTTCAACCTGTGCTTTCAAGGTGTATAATCTTTTTTGATTTGGCCCATCATTTCAGCTTGCCAAGTCTGTATTTTGCCATCCAATGCTTTAGCTAACTTAGCCACTCATCATCTACTAATTTAATCAATCTACAATTTGCTAGAAAGTGTGCTCCACAGAAGGCAGAGACTTTGGTCTGTGTTGTTCACCCTTCCATAAGCACTGCGTGACCAGGGCCTAGATTAAAGTGGATGCCAGTACTCTCTGCAGAGAGAATGATGAGTTAACAAGTGTCACACAATGATTCAATTTTCCCACCTCTTCTCTATTCCAAACATATCCTGTGTGAAATTCTTATTCCTAGTGTAATGTTGTGTGGCCTTTACTCAGAGGAATTTCATCTATGACGTATTAAGCTCTGAGGATCAAGGTTGCAGAATTAGGTGGCATTGAGGACGAGAAGTTCTAGAAAGGCCAAATTATTTAACAATGTTAAAAAGCTTCTCATGATAAAATGAATCTGAGCAAAGGAGAAATCTTGCTAAATTTTCATTAAACCATTAATTATCACCACTTGGGAACAGTGTTCAAAATTCATAAATCCATCCAACTTCACTATCATCCCAGCCTTATTTCTCCATATTCACCATGAGAGTATCAGAAGAGACGTTGTTAAATGCTTTGTTGAAAATTGCAGAATAATGGATAAACTAAAGCCCCAGTTTGAGGGGGAGGAAATGTCAAAAGTGCTCGGTGTTCATTGAAAAACTCTGTTAATCAAAATTGCTTGACAAATGGGCCGGCTGAGTGGCGCGTTGGTTA